TCCAGCAGAATGGATAAGAAACTAGTCTGGAAGATGTCTAGCTAGAGATCAGTAGCTTAGAGAAAGGATATAAATAAAGCTAGAAAACAACTGATAACTACCCGCCAGCTGCAGCTATCTAACTTGGGGGCTGTAACTTTCCCTAACTAAAACCTACCCAGAATATCCTGTGATCTGTAGCTCAGCGCTCCTCTGTCCTTCAGCCTGATAGCTTTCTCCCTTGAACAAAAGACTGCCTGTTTAATTGAAACATAAAACTGTCACCTTCTCACTTTTTTTGCTCTGTATCCACATGCCTCCAAATCCCCAATAAAAGGCCTTGAATATTCGGCTTGAGACAGCCCCCGTTGGCCTTGGGACGGTGCTGTCTCTCACGGGTCAGAACACTGTGTGTGTAAGTGTGAATTTCTCAGTGCCTTCTCCCTTTGTCTGCCAGGCCCGGAGCGATTGGTTAAAGTCCCTGCACAGAGGAACTCCCAGTCCTCGGTGCTGTGGCTTGGTTCCCAGGTCACAACAAAATGACGCATTCTTTTTCCTTCCAGTTCATGCTACCACTTTTCTGTTATATTCTGAAAATAAGGGACAGGCAACAAGACAGTGGGGGATGCTTTGCTATTGCAGGTGGAGGAGCGCTCGTGTCACAGCCAGCAGATGCTGCGCGATCCCAGTCTCACTCTCCGGGCATCCCTTACTTCCTAGAGCCCCACGGCAGACACACAACGTTCAACCCATGAACGAGGACACAGTCAGCCAGAGTCCTGCTCGTGGCTATGTGCCAAAGGCTGACAAAGGGCAGCAGTGAGCAGCATGTGAAGCATCTACTAATATGCTCGGAGCTCAGGGGACTGAGGAAAATGAGTTAAATTGACGGTCTGAATGATAAACTGAGATAACTACTACCAAAAACTTTGATATTTTAAAAAGTAAAGTATGAATGTTAAAGGGATAGGATGAATAATGTTAAACTATGAGACTTAAAATGTTTCCCAGTGAATTTTTTTTTTTACTCTTACAAGCAATCCTCCAAATACTAAGAACACATTATCCTAAACCCCCAGACCTGGAGTGAGTGGGGAACACCAGGCACACCCTCGTCTGACTCCCCACTCTGCTGCCCTTCCAGCCTTGCTCAGAGTTACCGTCATGACTAATTTATGTCTCAACTTGATCGGGACGAGGTATCTGACAGTTGTTCAAACATCATTCTAGATGTTTCTGTGGTGGTACTTTTTGAATAAGATTAACTTTTTGGAGAGAGAGAGAAAGTCTCACTCTGACACCCTGGATAGAGTGCCATGGCTTCATCAGAGCTCACAGTAGC